GCCCCCCCACCCCCGCCCCTCTGCCATCCAGAGCTGCTTCGATGCAGCTGGATGTGCTGTAGTCCCAGGTGCATGTGAAGACACGGTGCCTTGGAGCAGTAAACTTCAGAGCAATAAGCAATAAGTTCATTTTTATGCCTTAATTTCAGGTGTAGGTGTGACCATTGTAGAATACCTTCAGGAGCATTAACTAGCCAGACCTCATTCATGGCAATCACTAGCAATAGAGTGTCTGGAGTTAATCTCTTCCTACTGTTGCATGGATGTGCTTGAGAGGTTTCATGAGCTTTTTCCCCCTCCCTGTGTAAACATGTAGCAGGGCTTCACTGAAAGCATCGTTAATATTTTGAGTTCCTATCAATTAATTTCTGATGTATTCCTTTTTTCCCTGTTCCACTGGGAGAAGTTTATATGCTACACAACCACAGTGTGGCTTTAAGTAATTTTATGACCTCACTGCTATACTTGGTTCTGCTCCTGCTTACAACAGTTATACATGAAAATAATCCCATAGATTTCCCTACAGTTCTTCCTGATCTGCATCTGGTAAAAAGGAGATGCATTTACACTTTACATTGACAAGTGAGGGCTGCATTTATCCTTGTCCAATATTTATTTTTGCAATTTGCAAACTGGCATGTAAAGGGAAAAAAAGATTCAAGTCCCAGACCTAGGAAAAGAATATAAATAGACCCTCATTCAAAGGCATAGAGTTTTTACATCCCAATTAAAAAGAAATGTTATCTTAATGTAAACTCCCAAGGAAGCATGCAGTGAGTGAGGGGAATAAGATCAAAGAAATGACACAAAAAACTCCCTTATAGAGCACATTCTTCAATAATTAAGCAACGTGTGCTGTGTCCTGGTACTGCATAATGTGGTGCACGTAACAAAAAGACAGAGAGTCTCATTCTATTACCTTTACTCAATAGATCATTGCTTCATGGGTTGCCTCACTCATTTCATTGGGACTGCACATGAAATACTATTCAACCTAATTAGGATGAAACATCAGGACCTGTATAAACAAAGCCAGTTGGGCTTGCTTGTCTTATTCTTCTTTGTGGCTAGCACCATTGCTTCCATTTGCATAGGTTTAATTGCAAAAGGGTTTTCTCTGAGGTAAATGCTACTATTCTAGATTTAAATGACTACTGTTATATTGTGTTTATGGTTTCTACTTTTTCCAGACCATTGTAAGATGTTAGTTCTGGAGCTGGGTTGATAATACATGCACGTGTAAGTAGAGATTGAGAAAATGATCATCATTCCCATTTTGCCAGTGAGGAACCCCAAGGCACAAAGATTAAATGATTGGTCACAGGTAACACAGAAAGTTTGTGACAGGGCCTAGAACTAAACCCAGACCCTGTGTATCCTGGACCTGCAACTTAATTAGAAGAATCATGGAGAATTGTATTTCTGTTCTATTTTGAAATAGGCTTTTTTATATAACAGTATTGATTAAATGTGTAAACTGATTTTGCTACCTCTTTTTTTATACAGGAACTGGTGTGCATATGTCCATACCAGACTCTTACCTACTGTGGTAATAGACAACCTGGAAACCTTTTCATCAAGCAGAGGGAAGCCATGTACCTGGATAACTGGAGGCTGTGGTGTCAGGTGGGCAATGCTATAAGAAAACAGGACTTGCATGAGCTTTAAATAGAAACATTTAGGTAATTAATACAATCATGACTTCAAAAACATTGTCAGTATGAACAAAAGATGGATATTCAAGCTTCATCTATTCACTCTGCCCTGGTTATAGACCTAATGGCCAGATCCAAGAAAATATGAACAACCCACAGGTCAGACACAGAGACACCTTGCTTTTAAACTTCTATCCCCTAAAGCAGAATTCAGAACTCAGAATTAGGTGCCTAGGCTTACTACATTTCCATCTACTTGGGATATGGAGCCTAGGGAGGGACTGCATTTATACTGTTCATTCCAGAATAAGAGCATCTACAAAGGATGTTGATCAGGAATAAATATTCTGCTTTAAATCCAGTTTAATCTTTATTGTCTGTAAAGACAAGCCTTTACTCCTACAGTCTGAGCTCAGCAGGTTGGAGGGAATAAGGAGAGATACAATACAATATTATATCTCTTGTGAAAGGGGGCCAACATTTCAGAGTAAAGCTAAATAGCATTTTAGAGTTCACAGGGAGAACATTTTGGCTAGGTATAGACATTATACTTTTACGGGTGTAAGAGACTGGAATCAGTTGTAGCAGGTTCAGGGAAATCACTTCACTCACACAGTCTAGTGCGGTTTGTTTGAAGTTGCACCTGGCTATTTATTGTCCCTATTTCCCTGGGCAAACTCCCTCTGGACAGGGATCCACATATACACTTAGCAGTGCAAGCAAACATACCCCATAGTTATCTAATTTCTCAGTCAGTTTCCCTCTGACAGCACACAGTCTTTGCTTAAACTCACATGTCTCTATGGCTACAGACAGACATTATACATAAACCAGTTAAAGTAATCAGAAACTGGTTTAAACCTGTAACAGAACAGATGTTCAGTGCACACAAACCAGTTTGAAAATGGCTGAAACAGGTTTGAGATAAACCTGGTTGAATGTAGTATCAGACTTAACTGATTTGGCTCAAACCAGTTTATGCACCATGTGTCCCAGACCCCTTGCTGGTTTAAGATAAACCAGACACCCCAACATCCTGGCATGCTCTCTGGTCTGGGTGGGACTGCCTGTTCCACAGCAGGGCTCGCCCCTCTCCTCTGCTCCCTGGCTGCAGCTCCAGAGACTGCGGGATGCTTCCCCCATGCCATCACCACTCCCTGCTAAGCAGGAATTCCCCCTTCCCCTCTGCGTTGCTGAGGAGGTGTCTGTGTATTAGCTAGCAGACCACATGCTGGCTATGGTCCGTGCTGAATCAATAGGCAGAATCAACAGGTAGCTGGTAATGTCCCTCTGTTGTTTTCTTAATGGGGGGATAAACACTAAGTTTGGAGGTGATAAACAGTGTTATGAATTCCCTGCTGGGCTAATTGGAGCAGCCTGCTGGAGCATGGCCATGCCTGGCCTCAGCTCAGTACTGTGAAAGGGAAGGGAGGGCTGTTCTAGCATCACCTGTCTTCTAGCCTGAGCCACTGCAGGCATGTGCCTGCATTTCTGGGTTCTCTGTCTGATTACAAAACTGATTTGCCTAGCCAGGTTAGACTAACCTGCAAAGATTGAATCAATTCCGGCCCAGGCTTTTTGAATGCCTGTCCCTAGCCTATAAGCTCTGGGAGAGGTGTTCCTGAGAAGGTGCACAGGGCTTATCTATCAGCTGACCCACCTGCTCTCTTCTCCTTCTCAGCACCAGTGCTTCCACATGTGCTTCCCTCTGATGCAGGAAAAACATCTAGGCTCAGGCTTACTCTTGTGCTCCACAGTCTCCCTATCTCTCTCTTGTTCATCTCCCTCTCTGGGTGCAGACATAAGTGACATAAGTGACAGAATTTTTGCAGTCTCTCTCTGTGTAAGTCTATTAACTCCCACTGAGCTAGTTAATTATCACAGTCAGCTGGCCAGAACTCCTGAGGTAGTGTCTTAATCACTCAGTCTTTTAGCCATTGGGCTGTAGCTCCCACAGCATACAGTCCACTACACCAGTCTATACCTGTAACAGAACAGTTCAGCACACAAAACCAGCCTATACCTGTAACAGAACAGAATTTCAGCACACACAGACTGGTTTAAAAATTGTGGAACCTGGTCTAAAATTTGCACCCCTCCCACCAAAAACTGAATGTGTGTTCTGTTCACTACTGATATAGCCAGTGCCACTTACAGGAAACCACGTATCTTAGATCAGTTCTGCCTCAGGCTTTTTGTATGTCTGTAACTAACCTTTCTGACACAAACTAGTTGGATTTATTCACAAACTTTGTCTTGGCAATGATTTACATAGGGGTCATGCTTCTGTACAAAGGGTTGAAGAATTCTTATAGCAAAATTACCTTCACAGTTCATGGACTTTATAACTTAATATTATCTTGTACAGTTCTTGGCTTAAAAATGGTATTTAAAAGTCTGTGTATGGGGAATTAGCTTATAGGTATAGATATATGCATTATAAGGGGTCAAGTTGGGCAGCAGGGGTTAATTGGATTTCTAAGAGTCTGGGTTTCACACACAATGTGTCTCACAGCCCTGGAAGCAGGCAGGCTGTCTAGCATGACAAGGTCAACAGATGGACACAGCCTGAGAACTGAGGGGGGCATGCCATAACATAAGATCACAGCCTTTAAGGCAGACAGGTTGTTTAACACAACAAGGACACATAGTCTAGAAAACAGCCTGGGAATCAAGGAAGTATGTACCATACTGTCCCAAAACATGAGATAAGTGACACCAGCTACAAGGCCCCAGAGCAGCAGGGGGGTTGAGTCCCAGTTTTGGGGGAACAGACCAAATTAGGAGAAGGCCCAGAAAACTACGTGGACATGTGACCACAGAGAGATGGCCAACCAGAGATAGCCATGTATGAAGACTCAGCATGAGTCATCATGGGGGAAGGAGAATACAAAAGCAGAGACTTGAGAGTAACAAAGGGTCCCTCCCTGTTCCTTCTCGTTCCTCCTTCTTTTCCTCCCTGTCCCTCTCTCTCTTCCTCCTGGTCCCTCCTGTCCCTCCTTCTCTTCTTTTCCATCCCTCCCCATTCTTCCTCCTTTTCCCTATCCCCATTCCCGTTCCCTGGGAAGGGTCCCCGAGGCCACCAATGACCGAGGGCATACCAGCAGCCCATCTCATGCACCCCACTGGAGTGGGGCTGTGAACCTCAGCTTCCCACCTCCAGACTGCTGACACCTAAGAGAGACAGCCTCAGAGTGGAGCCTGCATCATGGTCAGATGTACTGTGACTTTGATGACAGCCCTAGGATTGGTAGATATAAACTTGCCTGTTGTTCGTATTGTTGCTATTTTGTTCTTACTCTGTATTAATAAACTCACCTATTATCAGCTGGCAGGTGGTGTGGTCAGTCTAAGGGTTGTGCTCACACGGCACAAAGGTATAGGGGCTGGGTCCAAATCCAGTGCCAACAATAGTGGTCAGTAGGGTTGTTTATCATTCTTTGCTACAAGAGTTTTTTAATCCCTTTATTTTGGGGGGGTTTTAGCGTGGGAAAAGAGGACGGGAGATTGGCTCTATCTTCCCATATACCAAGGACAATTCTTAGCAAAATTACAAACCAAGGCATCATAATTAAGTAATTACATGCATCTTCAACTGACTCTCAGATTGGCTTATAGATTTCCTTTTCCCAACTCCCTCTGCTCTTCACCAAGAGCCCTCTAGAACTTTCTTCTGCTAATCCATAAGGTTTTCCATCTTAGTCAGTGCCTTGAGGGAGCTGAGCTCATGTCCTTACTGAAATATTATGCAATCTCTACTAGAAAATCAACTCTGAGTTGCTACACAGAGAAAAATGCTCTGAAAACAAGAATGTTTCAATGTTGGGTAGCAAAACAGAATCCCAGTCATTTCAGAGTGGACAATATCTGCCTCCCATCCTCTTAGCTTCCTTTTGTGGGGAAAAAATAAATAGTTTTAGGGATGGTGGAAACAAAAAATAGCTAGAAGCCAAGTTGCAAGGTGGTCTCTGAGAAGCATCGACGTGTGCATGTAAGGTATTAGAAATTTAAACGGGGCCCTGGGGCCCAGAAAGAATAGCTGGAAATGAGTATTTTGGAACCAGACCTAGCCTTTCAAACACCATAACTTTGTATGGTTGCTTATTCCTGACTATGCCCATCTTTTAGGACTAGACATAATCTTTCTTACTTCAAAATAAATCCTTACACAATTTACAGTGTGTCCTTGTGCATACCAGCAACCAGCTTTTGTGTGTACAGCCAGTGAGAAAGCAAAGATGAGCTGTTTTGTTGTGGTATAATTGCATCAGTGTGGTGACTTTTTATAGGAGATATTTAAATATGCAAAAAATACTCTTATTTTGCCTGTGAAACCCTGTTCTCAATAGGAAAGAGTTTATACTCTGGCTTTGATCAATAAGTGGTTTGCATGAACAAAAAGAGAATAAAGACTTCAGATAAAATCCTGGGAGTTTAGCATAGATTACAACGGGTCTGGGATTTCATCTTAATCATTTGTTTCATTGCACACAGTATTGTATACATCATGGCTAAAATCTGCCAGAGTAACTAGAGATTTTGAATTCTGGGTTAAGATCCAAGTTTCATAGATCTTAAAGCAACCTGAATCTTTCAAAAAATAAGAACCCGTCTCATGAAAATCAGACCCATTTAAGATGTCTCAAGCTGAGTACTCAGACACTGCATTGCCCAAATCTACAGTTAATTTTAAAATATAAAAGAGTGTTTGGTTATTTTTTTATTTTCACCCTCATGGAGTTATAAAGAATATTGAGCTATGTTATTGTTCATCATAATGGGTTTATCAGAGATTTATCTTCCAGGATCATATCCAGTGATCTGAGACAGACTCAGAATGGTTGATTTTTAAAATCTTCTTGCTCAGGAGATCACAAACAACAACTCATCAGGTTTACAGAATCAAACATAAAATCGTGACATCGTTGGAGTGGAAGTGCTGCCCTGGGTACAGTGGACAAAACTGCCAGCCCAAAGGTACACAATTTGTACACATATGAAGCAAATTCAGTTTGGAAAGATAAGCAAAGACAACAATCTCATTCAAGAGTAAATGGCTCAGATGATTATCAGTCAAGTTCATTCTGCTAGAATAGGATCTGAAGCTTATTATAATCAGGGAAAGTGCAGACTGGGCTAAAATTTTGCAGAAAATTGCTTTATTGCTTTTGCTGCCCGTCACATAATTTTGAAAAATAATTGAATAAGTAAATAAAGTGACCTCTTCTCTCCTCCACCCTATTTAAAGAAAACTGCTTATGAAATCTTAATTATGATTCTATTTAGCAATAATCTGGAGTCTGTATTAAACATTTCACTACCCCTGAATGCCTGACCTTTTAATGGGAGAGGGGAGTTAGGCATACAATATTGTCATCATGGGAATATTATATCAAGGTCTTCTCCTGAATACAAATAGCAGGGTCACCCCTTTTCTAGTCAAAGGCAGATAGCCAGGAAAAAGAGAAAATAAAATGCCTAATCCTGTTTCTTCCTCAAATCAAGGGAAATTTTATCATCAACTTCAGTGGTAACAAGACTGAACATGACCGACTTTCACAAAAAGCCACACAGGGTATATGCATGTTCTGTATATAACTATGCCCTTTTTAGATGGAGAATGCAGTTTTACCATTGCCCTAGTGATCAAACATATGGCAAAGTACTGTAGTTTAAAATCTGTATAACTGCTATTACTTTGCCCCTGGTCTTAAACAAGCTGCCCTTGAAAAATAAGATATGGCATCAGCATACATATTTTAAATGAATGAATATTGCAAGAAAGGCCATTAGCTGTGGTAGAGAATTCAATCAACACTGGTAGAGTAGAGACTGTGATTAAAAATTAATGTACAGAAATGTAGAGAAATCACTGCTATTCGCATCCAGAAGAGGAAACTCTTAATACTGAAGAGCTAGAACCCCAGCAGGCATGCAAGTCTCATTTCTGTTATTGGTAAATGAGTCAGGGTCAAATGTGGCCTGATCTGTCACCAAAATATACATCCCAAGCCTGGATTTGATATATTGCATGGGTTTGCATTTTTTTAAAAAAAATATAAAAGCTAATGACAGTAGAGAAAATATAGGAATAAAAAAAGAGACAGAGTCTAACTGAAGTAACTGATGCAACATTAAGGGAACATGGGAAAGCTGAGGAGGAAAAACGTCTAGAGCCCTATTCGTTGTTCATTTGTGTAATAAAATGGCTATGAGTGTTTTCTGGGAAGGAACAGCAAGTGATTTGGAATCAGTTTTGGGTTCTATTCCCAGATCTTCCAGTATCCTGTTGCAGACATAGGAAAGACACTAAATCTTTCTATACCTAGTTTTATCCAGATAAAAATGGAGAATATTGAGATGAATGAATCAATGCTTGTAGAACACTTCCAGAGCCATGGATGAAAGGCAGGGTGTAAGCACAAAGCATTTCCCTTCTCTGCCTCAGAATCCTTTCTCCAAAGAGAGTGAACCACTAGCAAACTGCTGCCACTGTTGCCCACATCCCATGTGGAGGTGTTTGCCAATGAATCTGAAAAAGCCAGGGGACAATGTCTCTCCCTAGCTGCAGAGAAACCTCCTGTAAGGCACTGTTCTATGGTCCTCTTCACAAGCTGCTGGGTAGCCTCTCTAAAACTTGTCCATGTGCATGCTTGTCCACTTTAGGGCCTTTCCCTCTCCCGCTCCCCCCCTCTGTGCAGACCCTTGCAGATCCAGTCCACACTGTGCCAGAGCTGAGGGGGGGGAGGGGGCTGGCAGAGGGGTGGGGCTGGGGCAGCAGAGCCATGCTCCAGACAAGGGGAAAGCCCATGCAGAGCCCAGCTGGTGGGAGCCAGGGCCAGAGCTGGGGTCTGTCTCCGCTCTTGTCCACCCATCTGCTGCCACCAGCTGCGTTGGGGAGACTGCCTCAGCTCTGTCACAGCCAGGGTCAGGGGCTCAGCTGGAACAGACAACTGTGGAAGAGACTAGCCTGCCTGATTTGCAAGGCAGGGGTTAGCGGCAGGCTAAAATGCATTCTGGGTTGCCAGGGGACTGAGATGTAACTTGTGTCAGGAAGGATCTGGGACAGAAGTGCGGTAGATGGGTTCAACCCAAATCATATACATCTGATACTACATCCATCCAGGTCTATCTTAAACTGGTTTTGGCCATTTTGAAACCAGTCTTTGTGCAGTGAACTTCAGTTCTTTTCCAAGATTAGACCAGTTTCCAATCACTTATGCTGGATTGTGTGTGACGTCTGTCCCTAGCCATAGTGAGCTAAATGTATTACTATCTGGGCACGTCTACATGTGCAATTAATGTGCACAAATAAATTCCAGCACTTATTGCCCCAGAGTTTTTTTTCTCCTGGGCTCACCAACCAGGCTTCACATGCTGCAGCATGGCTGGCTGAGGCACAAGGGGGCTTCAGCTCAGGGGCGGCCTCCTGGCTCGTCCTGCACTGAAACGCTCTGTACCCCAGTCAGCCAGAGCAGTGTCTACACATGAGCTGCTGTGCACGAAAAAACTCTGCAGCACGGTAGTGTTTGTATTTTACTAATAAACTCTGCAGCAGGGTAGTGCTTGTAAAATACAAACACTACCTTGCCACAGAGTTTATTAATTCTACATGCCCTAATAGGGGCACATGTGTAGATGTTGAGACGTTTACTGCATAGTTAATTAGTCAACTGTGCAGTAAATGTCTCATGTAGATGTGCCCTCTGACACTTGTCATTGAGCATAAACTGAGTGGTAGTCTTATTTGGAGATAGGTGTGTAGGTAACTGTGTCAGGTATGGTAAAATCAACCAATGAAGAGAGTCAGATGTCCACATCACAACTTCCTGTTTTGTATCCCGTGATGCAACACTGTCTCTTCCCTGACCAAGTAAGGCAGTGCATCCTGGACATCACATGGATACAGATGAATGGGGGGATATAATTTGACCAGGGACTCTGGCTGAAAGGGAATAATGGGGCTATTGGTATGCTGAATTAAAACTCTCAGGAGCCAATGTGGCATTACTGAAGTATGCAGTTTAATGGTGATCTGACTCTAAATGACATAAACAAAAATGAAATATTTTGATTCAGGAAGAATGAAATATTTCCTTTTGTTCAACGTTGGCTAAACGAAAGGTTTTACCCTTTCTGAATTGAAGTCCTATGAAAGATTTCATTCCATGGAGAATTTCTGCATTTCAACTTTTCTTCCCAACTCAGGATGAAAACATTGCTTAAATATTTGAACTTCCTGTGATACTAAAATTTTGAATTTTATTCTCTTCTATTTACAAACCTTCATAAGTCCAATTCTGGAAAGTCTCCATACAAACGATCGATATTTACAGTCTCCACAGACTTTGTCTGGAAAGGAAAAATAACATCCTCGTAAATGTTGCTTTCAAATGGAGTGTAAAAGCGAAAGCCTGGCTGCATGCATCTGAACTCAACTGAGTCCCTCCAAACCATTTCACTTCATGTATGTCTGTGTCCAGACTGCTTTGAATGAGGTACCAGAGTAAGGCACATATCGTTCTGCAGTACTGATGCAAGAAATGCACAGAATGCAGCCAACTCAGAGCAATGCTAGGAGTATGCCAACATGTACCCCTGTGAGTTTACTGGCATGCACTCTCTTCTCTCAAGCAACTGTAGATTGCATCTGTTTCCAGGGACTACAAGCATGGAGTGGTTGTACTGAGCTTCACTGCAGCCCTTCCTAACGTGGTCTGGAGGCAGTATAGGTATCCTCAGTTTTGCTGATAGGATGGTAACTGCTGTTTACTCTTAACTCTGCAGTAATATCATTTTTCCAGCAGATGGCTCTAAAATGTTCTGAACAGAAGCAAGGAGGCTACAGCACCCTGGAAAAAAAACACAAAGGGCAGCAATGCTGATTTAAGCACAAAACTGTCAGAAGGATTAGGAGGAGGAAGGGGAAGATTCATTTAATGAAACTATGGAGCTTCCCACAGTGATTCCCCTTCAGCTGCTCCTGCTTCATCAAAAATGTATTCAGAGGAAAAGACCAATTTCCATATTTTTAGTACTCCCTGAAAACAATTTCATGCTTTATATATTTAAAAATACATGGAACAATGCATTATACATCTGGGCCAACATGTTCAAAGACAGACACCAACTGCTCGACTGCAAAGTAAGTTACCCTGTATTAAAAAGTGCTGAGCATTCAATAGGTCCCCCAGGAGTTTGTAGAAAGCACTGATTGCTCAGCACTTTTAAATAACAGGCTTTTGTTTTATGTAACATGCCTAAATATGGATTCCAGGGCAACTTCAACTCCTGAGGCAGCTTTAAATGCCATCTTTGCAGTATTGACTTCATTTCGGCCTGCAAAATTTGTTTGCACAAAATATAAAAAGCAAGGGTGACTGAGTTCTAGCTTTGAATACCTTGTTGTTTCTCCACTAACATGGAATGAAAAAGAAAACAAGAGGTTTTCCCCTAAGGTGGCTATGAGCTTTCCTCTGGGAAATACTAATAGTAGTTTCAATCAAGTGTCCACCTGAACACCAAAATATGGCATCCTTATTGGTGCTGTCAGCAAAGAGACCAATAACTAAATAAGTGAGAGACTTAAGTACCCTCTTATCCCTCAAGATAGTTCTTTCAGAACAAAATGAAACAGGTTTAGTGGCTAATAGGCAGATACTGGACTAGTGGAGTAACTGGCCTGATCCAATCTGGAAATTCCTATGTCAGAAGTATTAAATGAATTTGACTCTTTAAACATTAGTGAAATAACCTTGAAGGGACAGAGCTGATTCCCCAAACTGTAAAAGGGACATAGAAAACATAGAAAATTTTGGTTGGGAGAGACCTTAGGAGGTCATCTAGTTCACACCCCCGGTCAAAGCAAGATCATCCCCAACTGATGTCTAGCCGGGTCTTAACAACTTCCGAGGACAGAGCTTCACCTCACTGGGTGACCTATTCCAGTGTTTTACTACCCTCCTAGTGAGAAAGTTTTTCCCAATATCTAACCTAAACTCCCCTTGCTGCAACTTCAGGCCATTGCTCCTTGTTCTGTCATCTGTCACCCCTGAGAACAGCCTAGCTCCATCCTTTTTTGAACCACCCTTCAGGTAGTTGAAGGCTGCTATTAAATCTCCCCTCAGTCTTCTCTTCTCTAGACTAAATAAGCCCAGTTCCCTCAGCCTCTCCTCATAAGTCATGTCCCCAAGCCTGCTCACCCTTTTTTGTTGCCCTCTGCTGGACTTTCTCCAATTTGTCCATATCCTTACTGTGCCAAAACTGGATGCAGTACTCCACCTGTGGCCTCACCAGTGCTGAATAGAGGGGAATAATCACTTCCCTTGACCTACTGGCAGCACATCTACCAATACAGCCCAGTATGCTGTTAGCCTTCTTGGCAACAAGGGTACATAACAATCACATCATAGTTCTGTGATTGTGAAACGATTTCCAGTTCTTCCTGCTTGTTTCCCAGGCTTTGTGCAGGCAGCTGAGATGACTAGCTCATTGCACTGATTTCCCAGGAAATATGAGAGCACTTCTCCTATTTCCCCTTCTTACTTACCTGAGGGCTTTAGTCTCCATCCCTCAGAAAACTTAGTTTAAAGCCTTTCTCACTAAGTTAGCAAGCCTGTCTGTGAAGATGCTCTTCCAAGATCACTTACACATACCCAGACTTGAACTGCTAGCCTTTTTGTTCCCAGTTCATGACATAGGACCTTCAGCTACAGTAGAGGCCTAACTAAAAATCAGTAAGGAATCAGGACTCCTTCAAGATGTCTGAAACAGGGAACAAGCTATTTGATTTAACAGGGAGGATGAAAGATAAGATTGATTGCATGAAAAACCTGTTGTCTGCAGCAGGAATAGTGGGGTGAATATATCTGAGGAGACAGAAAGTTTGGTAAATGAAAGAATAAAAGGGGATTGATAAGCTGGGCCTTTATCACAGGCAAGTAACTGACTTCACTGTCATGGATTTTATCACGTCACTGTCTGATAAATCCTGTGTAATGAATTGGGATGAATGCAAGTATTTAACTCCTGTCAGCAATGATGGGCAAAGAAAGATAACAGTAGCTACTGAAATTGGAAACAGATATTTCCATTTTTTAACCAGCCACGGTAGTTCCAAAAGCTTCTACTTACTGCTTGGTACCTCTAATAATTTGGTCTGATGTGCTGCTGTGCAACACATGGTTGTTACTTCCTCTGTTCATTTAAAATAGAACATCTTCTTATATCAACCTATCAATTGTCCACCATAAATTTTAGTTCAAGGCTAATTGTCAGCTGAAGAATGCTACATCAGTGCACCCTGCTAATAGACAATGGATCTGGATTCCAAACTTTGGATGGCTTTTCGCCATCAGAGTTGCCATCACAGGTGAAAGTTTTGCAGTCTTGGAATGCTTTTTAAAAATAGTCCTAGCAGAACGGAACCAAAGCCCTTTGGGATTTCTCATTTACAAAAAACCAAAAACCAACAACAGCAGCAACAGCAACAGTAGGTCAAGACATTTACCTTGGATGTTGGAAACCATGTTAGAATCTCCAGACTTAGATGAAGGAGGAACTTAAACCTAGGTTTCTAGTATCCAAAGCGGGTGTGTCACTGGGTTATTAGATATTTTGGGGAGGCTCTTTCTGTTTTTGACTAGAAACTGCAGCCTGGACAGTGATCGTTTTGCTTTATGTCTGTCTTAAAGCACTCTACATTTAATCCAGGAAATTTGTGTGTGTTCCTAATTATAGAGCAAGGCTAACCTTTCCTATATTAGCACCAGCATCTGCAGATCGCAATCAATTGTTACCTCAAGGAGTCATTTATAATCTTCTCTGGTCAAAATGAAAGCCATTCGCTATTGTCACCAATATAGAGCTGCATTGTGTTACAAATGTGCTAAGCAGCTAACTCAGAAATCACTACAGACAATTAGGCTGAGGTAGAGATTGAACAGGGGGAATGAAAAGCCAGGGCAGTATTGCTGAGTATTGGATAAATTACTCAGGTTGAATGTTTCGCTCACTCTATTTCTTTTTCCTCTTTTATAGCCCAACAACATCAATTGATTATACATAGCAACCAGGCTGAGAGCAACCAAGCTATCAATGGGGAAATACCAGGAAACCAGCAGGACCTGAATGACCCAGGTCAGCAGCTACAATTACTATCATCCCTCACACAATCATTGTCAACATTGTTTATTAAGATCACTACAAAGGAAATCCTTAGCTGCTGAAAGCTCTGGGATGAAGCATTAAAGCTTCCTGCAGTCTTCTTTCATGTAGTAGTACTCTGAGAGTGCTCAAAGGAGAGAATGAACTTGAAGAATTAGAGGGTGAAGTTAGGCAAAAGACAGGATAAAGTGGCACCTTATTACACACTAACTTAGGGGTCAGCAACCTGTGGAGCAACTATAGCCTAAGCTACTGGATCCAGCCCACAGAGTGAGGCATCAGCAGCGTTCAGTAGCAGCAGGCACTTCCCCCTGTGCAGTGGTGCAGAGAAGCAGTGTCGGCTGGATCCTAGCACCCACTCACCCACCTATCTGACTCAAGCTGAGTCATTCCAGCACATGCCCAGGAAAGGTTGCTGACTGCTGGACTATCTTGTTCAGGCCCGCTTTCCCCTCTTACACAGGTTTGCTCTCAGGCATCTCCAGGGCACATCTCTATAAGCAGAGAATACCAACTTTCACCTGTTAAAAAACATGCCCTGGAGATTCCCAAGGGTGCATCTCTCTAAGTGGGGAACACATCATGTGGATTGTCCCACATGATCAACAAGCAGGACAGCAGGTGACATGTGTTTTGCCCAATGAAGCAGATCAGCTGTGCTGGACACATCCCAGTACAGTTGGTCCACTTAATTTGGCAATGTCTACTTATGCCCTTTGAGTTACATGATAAGGTTTTGCAGGTGAGGAAAGCTTTCTCAATATGTGTGTATAGAATCTAGCCATGACTGACAAGAAACAATAATAATCTTATAGTTGTATTCAAACAGTAAGTTAAATTGAGAAGTGACCTGAAATATGGCATAGGTGAGTGGTAGAAAGCCTACCCCAACCTTTATTCTTTTGAATTTTTGAATGAATGCTCATTTTCTTCTTGTATTCATTTTCCATTACCATTTGTGTGGTTTGAAGTTTACTAGCACAAATGTTCCAGAAAATGAATTTCATAGTTGTCTGCACAAATATTCAGAGAAATCAAATTTTATTCATGACAGGAGCACCTGTACATGCAATGTACTAGGAACAGGAACAATAACATGTGACTTATCTGACCAGCCCAATTAACTAGCACAGCTCAAATATCAATACATGTGGAGAACTAATAGTCATCAATACACAATAATGTTTTTAAAAAATCACAAAATAAATATGTTTAATGTTTATGAACAATGAATACATCTAAAGAAATTGTATTCTGCTTGCAGTATATTCACTACCACAAAGCGAAACTACATTTGTCAGACAATTCATCTGTGGCAAATTATTTGCTTCTCTGTAAATGGCAGTGTTAGCAATACACTGACAAGTCTAATCTGCTGTATCTTACAGCCCTCAAAGCACAACGTGGTGCTATGTAAAGATACCAAAGCTGGTTCTGAATAAACTGGTTCAAATACTGGCAGCAGTATAGCCTTATTAAGGTAGTTCTCTGCCTGCTGTGAAGCCTGGTATATTTTGCCATGCAAACATACTTTATATTCTAAAAAGCCAGAAAAGAACTAGGAAAAAGATCAACAGCAGGTGAAAGATATGGTAAGATGAAGCAGGATCCTGTTAGTTGCTTTTCTTTTTTTCAAATTCCATGTTATATGAGTTACACAATCTGTATGCAACAAGTACCCTGTTACACATGCAGCCCCTGCTGCATTCAACCCTATATCCCTAAACACTTTATAAACTCAAATAAAGTTATTCCCCTCTCAGTACCCTATATTTTTCAATATACTGCTCTTCTACGGGGAGATCCTTACATGTAGGAAGTAAAGAATGTCAGAATCCTGCCTGCGGTGCAAATCCATCAGGAGAAAGTGAGAGTATGCATGCATGTGTGTGTATGTATCTGCCATTAAGTAATAATTGGCAAAAAGGAGGTGACAGGAGAGAAAAGATGTTGCATGTGGCAACACTAAAAGGGTGCTGCAAAGGAAAGCTATAGAGGAGAAGGCTCTTCTACTACCAAAAGGGAGACTGAAAAAAAAAGATCTCAATGCCAGTCCATAGGGGGACCAGAGGTTTCAGCAGAGCAGGATATGTGAGATACACAAGGAAGTAAGCACAGCTAATGTATCAAAAAGTAAATTAGGAAATGAAAAAAATCCATCTTTTCTCTTCTTTAGTTTAAACTTCTAGCTGCTTTCGGGACATATTCTGAACAGTAACTGTAAAATGGGCATCTTCCAGTTCCATGTAATATTGTCTCTTATTGATTTTTAGATCAAATTTTCTCCATTCATGGCCAAGAGGTATCTGTTCTGGCTGTAAGCCCTGTAAACACATTCTAGGCCCAGACAGTTTAACCATCATGTCTTATACTCCATCAATAGCTACCAAGATACTTACAAGGCACATTCTGTTCTCAGTTACTACAGCACAACCCCACTGTCTAAAGACTATGTCCTCACCTGTACTTATCCAGTATTACTGTCTTCAACTGGAGTTTGTACTACTATAGCTAAGGCCATGTACAGGCATTCAATTTCTCCTGGAAGAGTCATCATGAGTGTACAGATGTCCATGATTTTTATCCCAGAGCAAAAATGGCTGGTCTGGGAGAAAAATAACCTGGGAGTTAAATTGCCAGAGTTAAATTGCTCTTGGGAAAGTTTCTCCTACAAAAGCAAATATCTGTACACATGCTCTTCTTAGAAAAGCCAAAGCACCATTCTTCAGTACCCCAGAGTTCTTTGCTGCCATAATGAAAAGTGACACAAGATCAATACTAATACTGTACATCTCCATTAATATATATTTGCATGTATTACTAAAGAAGCTATTGCAAAGTAGACTACTAAGAAGACTATTAAGGCATAATATGGGTTCGTCCATACAGGGCGTATCTACATATGCATTAATGTATTTTTCCTAATGTGTATTAAATTTAGTACCTCCAATGGGAGAGCTGAATAAATGCGCATTAGACTGCCCTAATGCATGGTACCGAAAGCGCATGTTTTTTAAATGACACTTAATGCACAGTAGCCTATTTTATTGTGCATTAACATAATTGCATAGGGTTTTTTACGTGATACATTAAAGCACACCTGTAGGTGCATCCACTGGGTAGTGGTCTAGTCATTTAGGTTGAATTTTCAAAGGAGCATCAGGGAGGTGGGCAACCAACTCATTGGAATCTGGGCACAGTTCTCTCAGGTTCATTTTAAAAGTTCAGCTTTAAGCCCTACTTCTGCAATCTGTTAAATACAAGCAGACACTTGCATTTATATGGAGTCTCAGTTTAAAAGATCTTTAGTTCTTTGCTGGCTGATTTAGAAACATTCAGCCGGGCATCCTTTCACCTAAACAGACCAACCTCAAAATGAGGGGCAATGTAGACTGACATTTACATAACCAAATGTCTCAAACTGAGTGACTTGTTCTTGTGAACTAGCTTTAGAAATATCATTATTGTATTACCTACTAAATGTCAATTTGCCTCCCTATCACTTTACCTCTTGTTCCTGTAGCATCTGGACACTGTGTTAAAAAGGCTATTTTTTGACCTCAACACTCAAAAATTGATCTAGCTCTATAAACTAAGGCAATTGAAAATAAATGGGTTCATTATTTGGTGAAGCATAAGTAAAGAGATATGTCTTTGTAATGCTATTAAGGACAAAGACTAAATGAGAGAGAGCTAACTGAATCCCCCCACAGGGTGCTAGATGGAAGAAGACTGGCATTATGCTGATTAAAATATGTTAACTATTCTAAGTACTCTTCTAGAATTATAAATACTTTATAATGGATACAGATGCTTCAGTAATTAGTTACTGCTGTGCTGCTGAATGTCACTAATACATGATACATGACAAAAATCAAGATGATTCACTCATGGCTAATAACTCAGAAACTTTTCACTCCACTTTCAGCTAATGTTTCTCAAGTCAATTATACTTTCCCTTTCGCCAATTATTTAATAAAATACTCTCTCTTTTTTTGTTCTATTCTCCCACCAAGCAGTTACACAAAAAATGAATGAGCAGATTAGCAGCCAGGAGATGAAACTGACTTTCCTGCAGAAGAAGGTTGACAACATTTCTGCTGCCATGAGTGATGTGAGCAAGATGCTTTCCTCTCTGGAAGGCAAAATCAATGAAGATAAGGGCAGAGACTTCCAGTCTTTTCTAAAAGGTAAAAGAAATAAATTAATGCAATCACTCACCCAGTTAAAGGTGCCAGCCAAAAAAAAATACTATTAAAAACGTTCTTCAACTGTCCTATTGTATTATTCCACATTCGTAGAGAAAAACCTTTTTTCGCTTTGTTTCACAGTATAATTTTTTTAAAGCCTTCCTTTTAGTCCTGTTAATAGTAACAAGAAAGCAGTTACAATGCACTGTATACTCTACATGGTAACTTTAAACCAAGTTATTATTAAGGCATTTGACTTCACATTCAGCTACTGGCAATACCCGTATCTGTGTGCTTAGTTTATTTTGTCCGCCGCTGGGACAAAGTGTTTGGGTTTTTTTACTGAGAAGTCTGAGTAATATGTCTGTAAAGTACATTTCACATAGGTTGGAGAGAAAAAGTGAGCATTCAAGGCCACTGAATGGCAATGGCACAATTCATGAAAAGCAAAAATCAATTGAGCTAGGACTTCACCCACAGAAAAGAAGAATCCTTCATGATACAAGGAGTAAAAGCCTCCATTGCAAACAAAGAAACCAAAAGGCGACATATGCTAGTTACCTTCTTTGTTTCCTAAAACTATGATCAATGTTTGCAGTAAAATCAGGTTCTTTTCTAACTTCGCATAATACCTCTATCTACATATAAATATAAAATTGATGTGAATCAACACCCAAAGTCAAGTTAGGAATTATCCCTTAGTATTACTATACTGGGAGAGCGACATGGTCAGTATATGATACAGATCTAATTGGTCAAAAGCTAATTTACAGGGATGTACAGTGACATTCTATATCCACTCATTTTTTGCTTATGCAGTCAACAGTGGCAGATTTGGAGGTGGCAGGTGAAAATTAATTAGGTGTAGAAATAATTGGTGGTGAAGCGTTAAATACACTGTAAAGATGTTCAAGAAGGCTAGATTTATCTTTATGAATCTAAAAGAGATGCACATTTATTCTAATGACAACAGGACTAAAGAAACAACTTGATTAATTTTTTACCTAATTTGTTGTGTTTTTACTCATAATATATGGTATAGCAAATGAATGCACATTCCAATAAAGTTATATTTGTTTTTACTTTTATCTTTAATTGAATAATATAACCCTAGGCCCTTAGCATATTAGTAAAGCTTTGAGTTCCTTTTAACCTGGAGAAAAATGTGTGTTGTGTTATATGTGGTAATGCATCACACCAGCTTCATCCCATTTTGCAAAATCCTAGATCCACCTATAGTAGTTGGTATGGACCAGTTACTTCTCAGACACCTCGAAAAATCAGGGTTCAGGATTCCATCTTAAAAGTCTGGCAACATTTTGCTCCTTTCCCAGGATTTGCCCTAAAGTATTATTTCCTTTTAGAATCGAAGTAGTTTTCCACTAGCTAAGAATAATTTTAGGGAGCTGGCTGTACAATCCTAAAAGAGCAACATTTCTTTGCCGCTCTGATTTACACCCAACATAAATCCCATTTTTAATCCTTTTATATCTCTTGCACATGCCACATAATGTACGGCATCCCTCTACCCCAATCATATTTTTATTGCATCTCCCACATTTAGAGTGGCCTGCTTTCACCTCTATGTTTATAGCTGCATGGCATAGTTGACCCTTGGGTATACATTTAATTTGTTTTTGAACATGTTCCATTTCCCTTTTGCATCCTTTCCATCCATTTCTTTATATCTCTCAATTTGATCCATCATTTCTACATTATTAGAAGACGTTTTGCTGAAATCCTTTGCCTATGCTTTTCCCCTTCCCTCTCCTTCCCCTCCCCCCCTCCCATTTTGGTATCCTTCTTACACATTCACATTATAAGAACTGCAGATATATACAATGTTGTGTTTTTCACCTTTACTGCTTTTGCATTAATCCTACCATTACTACTTCCCTTTTTTATTTATGTTGGTAATCTTTAGATGTAATTATGAACCTCTAAGCCAGGTTGAGCCTGATCCTTACATAGGTGTATGGTAGAGATAGGGAACAAGGAGCCCATTTTCCCATTGGCCTGGCTACTCAAAGGCAGGGAACAAGTACACTCTACACTCTGTGGAACACAGGGATTGCTATCTTCCCTGGGCATAACCAGCATCCTAAAGTGGAAGGAGTTGAAAGAAAAGCTATGTTCCCAGATCCCCACCTGCAGAATAGGGCAGATACATATGGTCCACGGCCCACATGGTTCCCATGCTGGTGCTGTGCCCTGAGGTGGGTCAGGACAACTTATCCCAAAGATTTTGCAGTGCTCAGAATTCTTCCAAACAGAATTCTTTCCATTCAGATCTGTTGCTCCCCTTCTGTGCTCTCCACACTTTTTGCCATCCCTCCCTATCACAGCAACATTTCCAATAGCCATGGCATTTTCTAATCTAGATGTACTGAAACTGAGATCTGTTCTATAGATAAACACCACTATGTAAGCCAAAGTCCTTGTATTGTGTTTGCATGTGAGAAAAGCCTTTCTCCATCTACTTCTGAAATGTTGTACTACTCACCAAAGTATCTGTACCCTTTGAATTTGAATGGTGAGACCCATTTTCAAGGATGATCTTTTCCATAATCAGTAGGTTCTCTCCATTGCCATGCACTCCTCCTGACATAGTGCCTAAATTATTCTCTCTGAACATTTCCCATTATTTTCTGCCTAAGTTTGCTGTTCTCTCCCTCTTACTATTTTCTTGCTCTCATCTCTGTTTCTTTTAACTTATTTTCTCCTATGTCCTTTTACATCTTTCTTTCATTTATTATAGTTTATATTCTGTCAAACTAGAGTAAGATTGTTGTGTTAATGGTTTGGAAAAGCCAGTTTGACAGGGAACTTTAACTCTACTCCTTTGTGCATATACTTCAAAACATACACTATTATTCAAGTAATTGTTTAAATTGCATTGGGAGTTTATGCAGGCAAAGTGTAATTGCCTAGTTGGCCAGTACATTTGGACTAAATCCTATAATCACATAAAAATGCCTGAGATCTTTAAAAGACCACAAGCATCTGGGACCTTGTTTTTACAAAAAACCAACAGATAAATTCAGACATGTCACTGAGCTGCATGCAGGGAGAGGGGGCCGAATAAGGTGCATCACCCAAAAGTAGTAGACCTTGGACAGGGGAGGGGACATAGACACTAGGGGTGTGTGAAGTGGGCTGTTTTTTATTCAGATTCAGCCCGATTCAGGCAACAGTGATTCGAGTTATTGATTCGGATCACTGTCCCAACTCAACGTGGCCATAGACACAGCTTTAAATATTTTTTCTACATACCTCGAGGTACCAGGCATGGCTCATGAATGCTGAGATGGTGGGGCAAATGGAGTGTCCCACAGGAGCGGAGGGGGGGACTCTGCCTGCTCAGCAACGGACCCAGAAATGGACCAGAGGGGTGCAGGACCCTCCTCCCTGCACCTCCCCAGCTCAGTGATGAGCCGTGGGGGACCCTGGGTGCCCCGCCAGACCCAGGAGGCACCAGTTGCCGACCCAGGGAGGGGTGGCCCCCATACACTCTGCAGTAGACCCAGAAATAGAACGGACATCTTTCTGGTCCACTTCTGGGTCCACAGCTGGGGACTCCTCCCCCAACCTCCCCACTCTTGTGGCACTCTCATGGGACACTCCATCCTCCCCACCATCTTGGCATTCATGAGTCACCTGGTACCTTGAGGTATGTAGAAAAAAACATGTAAAGCTGTGTCTATGTCCGAATCGTCGCATCTCTTCGAATCTCTCCAAATCAATTCAGAGGGTTCCAATTCAATTCAGAGATATTACAGGGTCTCCTGATTTGATTCAGATTTGGAGATTCAGCTGCCAAATTGGGCCAAAACTCCGCCAAATTGAATCAGCAACCGAAGCTTTGCACAGCCCTAATAAACACCCTTTTGAGGCACAGTTCCTACCCTCCTCTCTCTAGACTGAAGTAAGTTAAAGTCAACCCTAACGGGGTGTAGACTGCTTCCTGCTTCATGTCTGGCCAGCTATCTTGGTCAGCCAATAATGGGAATACAGAACAAAGGGTCATCCATTTCATTAGTCTCTACCCACTTGTTCATGGGAAGAACATCTGAAGAGTAAGGTCTCTGCTCCATACTAGATACAAATTTCTGGAGGGGTGAGTATGGAAACAAGATTTACAGCTCTGGTCCCTGTTAGATAAGGGCACAATTTAGCCCCTACTGAGCACCTCTTCCAGAACCACCAAATTTTAAAGTGGCCTTTCCATTATTAACTAAAGATCACACTACTTAGCTAAAGAGAGCTGACTATATCGTCTTGTCCATTATACTCTTCTTCATTCCCTTGCTTCTCTTAACATTACAGAACACTTTGAAAAAACAAAGCACCAGGAATAGCATGGGAGCAGACATAAGGAACACACTTTGTATCCATGTAAAGAATTTTTTTCTTAAATGACAACTTCAGTTTTCACTTCAGAAACCAAGGGGTCCTCAGGATCTTCCCTAACATTGCTGATAGAGCAGAGCTGTGTCTAGGGCTTTAGCAACAATGTAGTACATAAACGTCCAGTTGTCTGGTTGAGAGAGATTTGTGTGTTTTAAAAAGGAAGAGAAAGGAGCTGCTCAATTTTATCTTTCTGCTCTTTTATTCCATGTGTAAAAATCACCTGATATCTGTATACATGATACATAAGCAAGAGCGTTTCCAGAAAAAAAAATCAGTCCATTTCTTCAGTGGTATATTTCTAGGCTCTTAAAAATATTACATCTCCTCTCTATTATATCTCTTAGCTTGAAAAAGCCAGTGGCTCAACTATTGAGAGCTTTCTCTTTAAAGCACCAGAGGTATTTTCTGTCCATTTTGGCAGATACAATATAGGGCAGGGCCCATTTTTACTTCCTGAAAAGCTCCTATTACCAGTTTGGCTGGCTGTCTTTTCAGCTGGAATCACACACACAATTCAAGTGGGTTTTCTTTAAAAAAAAAAAAAAAGCAAAAAAAAGCATGCCATGCGGAGAGACTTGCTGAATGAAACATTTTCATTTTGAATCCTTGTTGAACCCCTGCTGCCCAAATAATTTTCAGAAGTTGCAGAGGCATGTGCAAACAGTTGGCTGTTATTGGCTTGCTTCCTGGATTTTACTGTCACTTGCTGAATATGTATATTCAACTAAGATTTTCTAATTTGCTATGCTGTTTTAGAGATGAAGCAATAACATCCTGACAGTAGCAGGGACATGGGAGGTTAATGGCCAAGGATGAAGACAGAGGAAACTAACAGAGGAATCTCTTGCCATTACCTTAAGTGTTCTAAGCAGAGAATTGACTATGATTATCGACCAACAGTAAAAGTAACAGAATTTAACCACTGTACAGCAAGCAGGCTGCAGTGTTCCTAAGATCTCATATATGTATTCTGTAGGCCATAATAGTTTCTTTTTATTTGACTTGCTAGATTTAGGGACTTATATTTCAGAACAAGCTTAAGAAACTCCTTTCAGCCCAGCAGACCTACTTATCTACATTTTGATGCAAAATTTAGGTCAGTTATTGTACCCACTCCTCGCCTGGAGAAGTAATAGCTATCTGTCAATATTGTCTTCATGTTATTCTTCAGGCCAAATTTATTCCTAGTTTAATTCCAATGTAGCCTGTCTTGATACTTCTGGGAAGTCTGTTAAAACTACAAAAGGTATCTTAATGAAAAAATAAAGGTGAAAGCTGTAAAATGACTACCTTTTCAGTGCTACCTAGCCTGCCTATGTTTCATATGTGACATACCTGTATGAAGAGTTAGAAAGACTCATCCTCTGAGTATTGACTCCCTTTCTCTCATGCAATACTATTTCATCTCCACACTTACCACACCTGACAGGAAGGTTTTTATTTATTTTCTTTATTTCTCCCTCTTCTGAGCCAACATAGCTAGGGTAAAGCAGCTCTTTTTCCCCCTACCCTTGCAAAAGTGGTGGTTGAGTGAAAAGATAAGTCTCTCAGAGACCAAGGTGCACAAACTTACAAATGTCTCTCTTGCTGAATATGGGACTACCAAATTAAGAAATTCCTTTACTCTCTCAGTCCATCATAGCTATTTATCTATTTTGGTGTAAAAAAATTAGGTCAAAGTTACTATACCCACTACCTGCCTGTAGAAGTGATAGACATCTGTCAGGCTTGACTTCATATTAGCTACAAAATTAATGTTAAGGGTGTGACATTGCACCTATCAAACTCAACTGACATCAGTGGGGGCAGGACTGAGATCACCTCTATACTATCTATAGATAGGCAGATGCCTGGATACGAGCTGCTATGACATTCAGTTTCACATGACACCTTGTGAGTGTTCATGCAATGAAAGAATGCTGGATGTAATTAAAACATGTCTTGATTACTTACTTTTTTCTCCTCTTCTTTCAGGTCTCAAATCTACAAGTATTAGTGAACTGGTCAAAGATATTGTCAGAGAGCAGTTTAAAGTCTTCCAAAGTGAAGTGCAGGAGACTGTGGCACAAATTTTCAAGACTATGTCTAGTTTATCAGAGGACCTGGAGAGTACAAAAGAACTAGTCAAACATCTGAACGATAGCCACCAAAAAATTGTCTTGAAAGAAAGCCAGCTAACAAAGACTGAAATCCTGGAACTGAAGAACCAAATAGTGCAGATGGAAGAGGAAATTGTCCTTGTTTGTGACAAGCCCATCAAAGACCTACAAGTGAAGCAAAAATCCTTAGAGGGTGGCTTGAAGAATGAGCAGTCAAGAAGCATCATTTACTATGAATCTCTGAATAAGACTCTTACTCAGCTGAAAGCGGTGCATGAGCAACTGTTATTGGGTGAATCAGAATCAGATCAAAATATCCTTTCTGTAGATACATCAATGAATGATACAATTGCAAACTATATGTCCATTCTTCATGAGAAAGTGAAGAAACAGGACCTTATGGTATTGCAGCTATATGACAACTTCAGAATCCAAGATAGCAAGATCAGCAATCTCACTGTCACATTAGAGATTCAGAGAGAGACTGCTCATCAAGCAGGTGAAGACATCTTGTTAAAGTGCAGGAAGGATTTTCAAACACAGATGAAGGGTGCAGAAGAGAATGTGCATGTCTTAAACAAAACCCTCTCTAACATACTCCTTCCACTGGACAACAAGATGGATAAAATGAATGAGCAGATTAATGATTTGTGTTATGATATGGAGATCCTCCAGCCCTTGATTGAGCAGGGAGCACCATTCAGCTTGACAGCAGAGTACGAACAGCAAATTGAAACAGAAACAGTTAGTAGGAAGTTAGAAAACCTAACAACAGTTGTTAATAATCTGAGCTCTATCATCAAAGAACTTACCAAAAGCCAGGTGGCACTTAAAAGTGAAGCTCAAATCCGTGAAGAAGTCTTTGAGAGACGTATTAATGAATGCTTTATGGAAATAGAAGATGGCTTAAATAACACCATGATAATTATAAATAATGCTGTTGACACTGTTCAGGATAACTATGTACTGAAGGACTCGCTAAGTGCCCTAAAAAAAGAAACTGAGGCCTGTTGTAGCAATGCTGAGAAGTTGGATAGCATTTTATCATTCATTCCTCAGTTCCTGAAGTTTAATGAGTCCCTTCAAATACTGTTCAGTGACAAGGGGAGGTATCAATATGCTTCAGAAGTAACTGAAACTCTTTCAGATCATCCATACAAAGAATTGGAGAAGGGAATCATGGCTGACATCAGAAAAGTTTACCAAATTTTAAACAGAACATCATTAAAAGTAGATGAGCACCACCGAGATATCAGTCTCCTGGAAGAAAAGCTGGTCCACTCAGTGGAAGAATCCAAAGACCATGGAGTTCGCCTACAGAGTGTGGAATCAAAAATGACCAAGATTTTGACAAGCAATTGTCTTTCACTGAAAAAAACCCAAGTTGCAGCGACAGAGAGAGACCAAATGGTCACTCTTCAGCTTCTGTCACTGAGCTCTAGGATCAAAGCGCTGGAAGCCAAGTCTATCCGTTTCTCAAATGCTATCCCCCTCTTAAATAAGACTGTGTATGATGCTTGGGCACGATGTAAGGATGCCTCTGTCAACATCCAAAAGGTGAATTCCAGTGTACCCCAGTTAATTAAACTTGCTCAGCCAGATATCCCATTGCTGCAGAGAGGCTTGAAAGAGCTCACAGAATCTGTACTTGAAATAAAAGCAGTGACTATCCTAACCAATTTAACTTGGTATGTAGACAAATATATGGCTGATGCAATGAGCAATATTACCAGACTTCAAAAGCAGATGAAACAGGTTGCAAAGAAACCAGCTACAGGAAAAAAAGTGACAGCAAATGTTACCACAAGCCTGGCAGGCCGAAGTCAGAGAAATGCAGACAATACAATAGATCCAGGTAATAAATTTCATAGATATCAATTGTTGGGATCATTATTACAGTACAAGAAAGGCTAATGAAATTGATATGATGATTCAAGTTAATCTATAGTTTCAATGAAGGTGGCAGGAGAAATGGAGACTGAAAATGGATAAAAATAAACAAAATAATGCAGATCACTCTAGACTAGTGATTCTCAACCAAGGAGCCAGGATACCCTGGGGTGCCTTGAGATCATTTCAAGGGTGCCATACAATGTTAGCAGTTAGGTGTGCAAACATTGTTTCGCAAGGTTAACCCAGAGATTTGACATAGGAATCCATAGTGTTAAATACATCTTGACATTTCTGAGTTATTTGCAACAAAAATGCTCTATTACTTTTCTGCAAACAAAAAGTGAGTGAAAACTAAGAGCTGGCATTTTCTAAGGGGTGCCTTAAGTCTAAAAAAGTTGAGAACTACTGCTTTAGGCATACTTCACGGATTAAGGAGGAATACACATCCTCGTCAATTAGTAAGGAGTCAGGGGAGGGGCACTCTGAAGTGCTTTGGGTTAGGGTACAAGGCAGTCAAGGGGAAAGGGACTTAATGGTGGGAGTCTACTACAGACCTCCCAACCAGGGAGAGGAGCTTGACCAGGAATTCTTGGGTCAGCTCACAGAGGTAG